TTCACCTCGAGGGTTTATGAATATTACTAGATTATCTTTACGGTTGGACAAGGTTTCACGCGAGATCACGTCATTCTTTCGCATTAATTCATACGGTGTATTAGCTGTGTCGAATAGTGTTGCCTCATTTTCCGTCATAGTCAGTTTCACTATCGCTGCTGTTGAAGTCACTGTCAAATTTTCTGAATCGTCGTTAATACTTTGAGTGTCGTCAGGGACCTCTGGATCGTTAATGTCATTTAGTATGTTGCTAGAATAATGGTTATTAGTTTCATCGGATGGGTGAGTGGTTTCGTTTATGAATGCCTCATTCAATTGGTTTTCCCGTCCCGTTGGTATCCCATTGGGGATCGACTGAACGACATTGCTGTCCACGGATATATCGACAGGCTTTTGATTTGTGTGTTTTGATTTCTTCTGTGATTTTTTTTCTTTTATCTTGTGGGGATAATAATGCGGCTAATTCTTCTTCTTGGGAATCGGAATCATATAACACAAAGGGAAGTGTAGGTTGACTAGGGGTAGGTGGGGATACAGGGTTTCTCGAGAGAGCATCAGCGTTACAATTGGTTTTTCCTGCTTTATACATGACGCGGTAATCAGCAAGTTTAAGTCGCCAGCGCACTAATCGTGACGTAGGATCCTTAATGGAATGGAGCCATTGAAGTGACTTATGATCTGTTAGAATTGTAAATTGATTTCCGTAAAGGTATGGCCTGAAATGATTCGTGCAATAAACTATCGCTAATGACTCTTTTTCTATCGTCGCGTAATTCTGCTCGGCATTGTTCAGTAGTCGCGAGGCGTACGCGATCGGTCTGTCTTTTCCTATTTCATCTTGACTGAGGATTCCTCCTATGGCATAGGCAGAGGCATCGGTGGTTAATATGAAAGGTTTTGTGAAATCTGGGTGAGTAAGCAGCGGCTTAATAAGCATAAGCTGCATAAGCAGTCGCGGAGTTTTACGAAGGCTTCTTCCTGTGGCTCGCGCCAATCGAATGATTTGTCCCTTTTTAGTAAGGATGTTAATGGTTTAGCGACGTGTGAAAAGTTATTAATGAAACGGCGATAGTATCCCGTCAAACCGAGGAACTGTTTTATGTTTTTGGCGTTGCGCGGTCGCGGGAAGCTTTTGACGGCCTCTAATTTCTTAGGGTCTGGTTTTACTCCGGCTTCGCTAATGACATGTCCTAAATAGGTTACTTCCTTCGTGAGAAATTCACATTTATCCGGTTGTAATTTAAGATTTGCTTTTCTCAATCTCTCAGCGAGTTTATTGAATTTTTGTGCGTGTTCTGTCAGGCTACTCGCATATATTACTATGTCGTCCAAGTAAACGAATAATTCTATCCCTTGCAAACCGCTTAGTACCTTATCCATTAGACGCTGAAATGTAGCGGGCGCGTTTTTTAATCCGAAAGGCATACGTTTGTATTGTAAACAATATCCTTTTTAAAAGAGGAATATTGTTATATGGTTGTATATCTGCATTTAGAAAATGATTTCCAATTACATTTAGTAATGTCTGAAATATAAAAATTGTATAAATTATAAATGTTTAATTCGTTATTATAACTTATAAAAAATGTAAGTGTAGAAAAAGGGCTACGAGTCAAAAATAACTTTGACAATAAAATTGATGTTAAAAATATGTCATACATACCTCAAAAGTAATTCGAGACATTCTAAAATGTTCTTTAAATTGGATATCCGTATAGGACGGAATAGTTATTTCAAAATATTCTTCATTCCGCGATTTTTTGAGCTGACGTAGTCTACCTTGCAATATTTCAATTTCTGGCAATGGTGCAAGACCGAGAATATTATTCATTATATTTATGTCAAGTCCATCATAGATCATAAATTGAAAAACCACGTTATTCATTATTAATTTTTTTAATAATTAATATTAGTAAATCAATGTTAAATACGTTTTCACGATTTTCACTAATATTGTAAACACAAGTACTATCCAGACGAAAGTAGGTTACATTAGGTTACGTTGTAGCAGAGCATTCAGAGAAATTAAGCGCTCCCTCTGTGAGCGATCTAGTAACGCTCTTTTCTGCTAAATGTGCCCATTAAGGGGATCCTAAAGCAAAGTTCGAACTCCGATAAAATCACTAGATGTCGCTGTTTTTCCAGCACATTGACATGTCTTTACATACTACCACACCAATATCTCACACAACCTATGATACATTCAGTCGCACGTTCGTGTCAATTTTCGTATAACAAATTCGTCGCGATAAAACGTCCAACAAGTTGTAAGTGTAATTCTAAGAACTCGACGTTATTTGTTCTTGCAAACTACGTGTTTGTGATCACTATTTCGTAAATACAGATTACAAAACTTTCGTATCAAGCAAATGTTGTCACGACTTGACAGCTTGAGATGCCAGGTTACACTAAGAAATGGTAAAAAATATATCAATTTCGAAATTTTTTGTCGTTCTCTCGGCATAAACTCCACCTCACAAAGACGTATACTTTAATCCTGGAAAAGGATTTTCGAATCTGTGAAAGAGAAAAAAGTATTTGTTATACAAAAATTATATGATTTAGTCGGTAATACAGGCGGGTTTAGGATCCCCCTAAGAGATAATTTATTAATAGCTCGTAATTTCTTCTTGCATTATGCAATTACATTATCTATATATCAAGCTAACGACATTATAATCTCTTTTGTCTTAGAATTTCTCTTCTTCTCGAGACACTACCTTATTTATATATACTTTCGAGATTACAATAAGCGATTACTATAAGATTCATCCTATTTTGGTTCTATATCTCTCGCTATACAGATTAATATAAGAAAAGAAGATGATCGTTATCAACACTATTTGGAAGATCATAATGTCATGAATCATTACTATAAACTAAGAAGCGCCATTAACGGTCTGAACGTTAAGATGTTGAACAATTCTAAATTCAATTTTAAATGAATTAATTTCAGAAATTATAATTGCGTGCCGATATGGTTGTCGGACTTTCAACGCAATCAAATCTGAAATATTAATAATCCCCCCAAATTTCCCAACTTAAAAACTGCAATAAACTTATTGCGAAAAATAATGCCTCGGCCGGGAATCGAACCCGGATCTCTTGCATTCCGTGTCGAACCCGGATCTCTTGCATTCCGTGTCTCAATAGTCTTAAAGGCTTAGGACGCTCGCACGAATGCAAGAGATCTGGGTTCGACTCCCGGCCAAGGCATTATTTTTCGCAATAAGTTTATTGCAGTTTTTAAGTTGAGAAATTTGGGGGGATTAATAATATTTCAGATTTGATTGCGTTGAAAGTCCGACAACCATATCGACACGCAATTATAATTTCTGAAATTAATTCATTTAAAATTGAATTTAGAATTGTTCAACATCTTAACGTTCAGACCGTTAGTGGCGCTTCTTAGTTTAAAGTAATGTATTTAACATAAGCGGTCTTCCAATCTTATTATTGTCATAAATCATGCCAATGCTTTTCACACTTTTGTTTAAGGAAGAAAGTGCATTAGACTGCCCATGTAGCACAGCAACGCGTGGAAAGCGCTTTCGAAGCGCTCTTCAGATTGCACCTCCCAAAACTGCTGTCAGTTATGCGCTTTCATTGCACATGAATAACTCGGCAGATTTCAAGTCACACAGATCAAAAAATGATTATGCGCGTGAAATGCGCTTTAAATGCGCTTTCATTTCAAAAGCGATTTAAAAACGCTTTTTTAGCGCAGAAACATCAAGGTTTTGTAGATATCCCGGGAAAAAAATGTTTTATATGAAATTATATAAAATTATACAGTTTTATATAATTGTACATATAAATGGACATATTTTATACATAATATTGTATATAATTATGTATATTTATATGCAATTATATATATATATGAAATTATATAAAATTATATAATATTATTTAAAATTACATTTTATATAATTTTATATAATTATATATACAATTTTTTTCCGGATATTTCAAAAAATTTTATTTGATAATAAAATAATTAGAAAATAAATTTATTGAAAATTTTATAAAATATCTAAAGGACTATACCTAGTTTGAACCCCGGCTGAACAACATTGAGATATAGCTAGGATTGTAGAGCATCAAAAAAGGATTAAAAAGTTCCATATGCACAACTTTGTAAAATGAGTCCCTTGAGTGCTACAGCTGTTCAAAGTTCGTTATTATGACCATGTATTGTGTACCATGTAGGACTGGTTTTATTCGATTTCTCGAATCATCTAGTATCTGGAATATGTTCAATCTTGACGAAGACAATTAAAATCTTCTTTGGACACCAAATGAATAGTTATAAGTGATATATATTAATCGATGAAGAGAGGAAAGAGACACTCAAAGTATGAAAAAAAGGTTTTAATTGCCTAATTGAAATGTGGCCAATATATGTTCTAGGAGCACTTGAGAAATCTCTCCTATAAAGTTAGGCTCGTGGAATTTTTAATTCTCTTTTGATACCTTGAAATTTTAGGCATGTCTCAAACTTGTTCATTCGGGGCCCAAATTCCCCTATAAAACTGGGCATAGTCCTTTATAAATATGAGTCTCGGCTAGTTTTGGCGGTAGGTATATAATATATACGAGGGCAAATCAATAAGTACCCGTGTTAGTAATGAAGGCGCAAGATTTTCACAAAACTTTTTTTTATTTTTCAACATAATCCCCTTTTAGAAGGATACACTTTTCCCAACGTTTCTGCCATTTTTTTAACCCCTCCGAAAAATACGATTTTTCGAACTCTGCAAAATAGGCCTCTGTTTCGGAAATGACCTCATTCGACGTGAATCTTTTTCCACCGAGTCTTTTTTCAAGTTTGGAAAAAAGAAGAAATCGCAGGGGGCCAAATCCGGAGAGTACGGTGGATGCGACAGCAATTCGTACCGCAATTCCAATTTGACTGTGGCGACTGCGGAGGAGTGAGCCGGTGCATTGTCCTGATGGAACAACACTTTTTTTTTTCGCCAAATGGGGGCGTTTTTTCTTCAATTCAACATCGAATCGGCCCAATAAATCAGCGTAGTACTGCCCGTGATAGTTTTGCCTTTCCCCATGTAGTCGATGAAGATTATGCCTTGCGCATTCCAAAAAACAGTGGCCATCACTTTTTCGGCCGATGGCCACTGTTTTTTGGAATGCGCCTTGGCCTTCTTCAGACCACATTCGCCGGGTGAAATCCACTGTTTTGACTGTATCTTGGTCTCCGGTGTGTAGTAATGAATCTATGTTTCATCAACGGTTACTACTCGACGCAAAAACTTCTTCGGATTGCGCTTGAACAGCTCCAAACATTGCTTTGAAATTGATAGCCGCATTCGCTTGTTGTCCACCGTGAGCAATCGCGGCACCCATCGAGCCGACAGCTTTTTCATTCCTAAATTATCATGCAAAATATTGAATGCCGTTCCATACGACACGCCTATGGCCTCTGCTACTTCACGCACTTTCGTTCGGCGATCAGCGAGAATCATGTCGTGAACTTTTTCAACGATTTCCTCAGTAACCACGTCTGCCGGGCGGCCTGGGCGCTCCTCATCAAAAACAGACGAACGACCACGTTTGAATTCGTTGAACCAATATCTGACGGTTGTCATAGATGGTGAAGGGTTCCCATAGGCGGCGTCCAACTTCGTTTTTATTTCTTCGCACGTTTTTCCATCCAAAAATGAAAAGCGAATCATGAATCGATATTGTTCTTTTTCCATTCTATCGGAAAACATCAAACACTCTCACTACGAATTGCTGTCAAATCAAAACTATTGCATGAATCACTCTGAAATTTTGTATGGTGTCATTTGAAAGATGATAGTACACGATGGTAATGCCAACTTGCATCAGCAACGTCACCTGTCTTCAAATATGGGTACTTATTGATTTGCCCTCATAATGATTGTAAAATATCATATACACACAATGATGGTAGAAAAATTTTGCTGAAATTATTTCACATTTTGGAATACTTTTCAGCAAAATTTCAGCAATTTAAAAAATTTTCAGATTAATTTCAGCGACTTTTAGTTGAAAAATTCATTTCGATTAAAAAAATGACTGCTATTGAAATGAAGATGCTCTTTACACCGTCTTTCATCGATTTTTCTCCGTTTTTGACGCTGAAAAAAATATTTTGATTACAAGAAAGAAAGGTATGTTAACAAATTTTTCAATATCTATTTTCTTTGTCGACATTTCAATAATATAAACAATAAATATCAATACGTGGTCAAAATTTAAAAACGGAAAGATAAAAGGCATATACGTGAAAATGAACGCACGATGTTTTTTAGCGAAGTTTATCTTAAATTCAATACATATAATCGAGTTACACAATTGTTAGACGTTTCGGCCTTAAATTAGGCCATCTTCAGTATATAAAAATTAAATAAATCTTCAGTATATTAAAATATAAAAAAAAATGATATATACAAATGTACGATTAATCTAAGTTAATTCTCTCTTCTCAAGTCTAAATATTACGCAAAAACGCTCATTGATTCGTTTTTCTACTTTCTTTAATTGTTAGTCACAGAATTTTCAATATATCCAGCGAATTTCGTCTTTTATTCCAATTTATTTCCGATATTCCAAATGCTTGTATTAAGTTGTTAATTGAACGCAAAATTTCCAGATTCTAATGATCACAATATTTCTTGATTAATTCAAAGCTTGCAATTCATCTAGCGCGATATCACTTATATAAATTAATATCTGTGTTCCAGTCAACTTGTATAGATTAGTATCGAAAGTGGATGTCTTGTTACAATGGCGAAATTAAGTTAAGATGTACTGCCAAATTCTCATCATGATACATTGCTTTAAATACCTCTCGTGACTCAAAGGAGAAGGTAAAATGGTATTAAAAAGGGGGAGCTATGCTAAGCAACGGAAAGTAAGTCTCTGGTAATTTTTCCGTATCACTCTGCTTATTCAGGCCATTAATTTGTTTTTTAATAAAGATTATTTCCGACGTGATTCTTTTTAGAAAGAACGGTTCTATACTTAGTATCTGAATGTCATCCCAATTTTGTAATCACGATCAATCTGATGTGATAATACCGTGAGAGAATCTTTAGATTTTTTGACATTAGCTTTATGTTCTTTGATCATTTTAGCTTTTCTTTTGATTTGACCAACATAAGAAGAGTTAAATTAAGACAGTTTATTTTATATACCACATCACATTGTTCCATTTTTTCTAGTTTATCTTTACCTAATTTTATGAATCGATTCAAAGTATTCATAGGTTTGTACGATGCTTTAAAATTATTTGTTACCGCTGTAGTATTAAATTTGTCAGAAATTGTATTCATAAATGGAATTTTGAAATATTTCTTTCTATTAAGATCAATGGATTCGTTATTATTGTCAATATTATTTTCATAAAAATTTTTTCTACTAGATAATTTTTTAATTCTATTATTAATACAATTTCTGTAGACTCGAATTCTTAAAATAAAAATAATAATAACACAATCCGTAAAGGCCATACGAGTCACGGGCTGATGAAGGTGCCAACGATTAATTTCAATCTTAATTAATCATTAATGTGTAAAATCCTCTTTATTGAACGTTTCGACTCACTTTGGAGTCCTCCTCAGCAATACATATGTGTAATTAATATGTTGAGTATTCCGTCAACATGAGTCACTTACAGGTTCCCGACTGTAGTGGATCCTGATTGAAATATCAAAATTAAATAGATTTATCAAAAGAAAAAAAAAATCTAAGTAACTCACCTCAAACGGAACATTCAACATGTTTCATGAGCTTTGTAAGTTTATATTAACAACAATTAAATCTGATCTTCATTATATACATTTAGTTAATTTCAGTCTCACATCTCCGAATAATGTAACGTGTTTGTCGAACATTTTATAATTTATAACGGACAACAAAGACACAAAACAAAAACAATCAAGAAAGAAAAGCTAACTTATACTATTCGCTATATATTAGTCTATTATTAATTGTAGAAAAAATTATGTCAAGAGGATAGCCATTCATTAGTAGAATGTTTATCATGGATTCAATTTTTTTTTGTGGAATTCAGGATGTGAAAGGAAAAATTCTATCAAGCTGACTGTTTTGGTTAGCCTTGTGGCCTTTGCATATGTAGACGCTATTTTCTCGATACAGCCGTGATGTAGATGCTAGCCTTGTGGCCTCTGCGTATGTGGAGGATTTTCTTCATACTAAAGTGCTAGCCTTTTTATAATAACTCTTTATTGCGAAAAAAAACTCTTTCTTTTTACAGAGAGAAAAAATGATGGCATACCTTTTCACGCTTCTCGAACACGAACATAAAACAAAAAATGATAAGAAAGGTAACGCGTTCAGCGCTGCTTACCGACAAAACTGAAACGATACTAACGCTACAGGCAGGTCGCGACGCCATCTAATGATACGCATAGCTACTATCATCTAACCAACATGCATGCAGCGCATACATGCCGCCGCCCTTGAAAGGATGATCTTTCAACAAGAATAATAACTTACAAAGCTCTGAGCAACATAAACTAAATAATAATTGTATGATAGTTAACATAAAGTAAAGTGTACGTTGTAATAGACAGTGAGCAAGCATCTTATAGCTGTAAATTGTATGTACTCCGCATAATTATATATCTTAAACGTTATCGCTAAGGTCAATTGGACAAGACATATCTGAAATTCCTTTTTCTATAGAGAGTAAACACAACCGGGTAATTGGACATTTATAAGTACCCTTGATAGTTCGGACAGTCACAGTGCGAGTTATCCCATCTCCGCCGGGATGTAGTTCTTGGATTCTTCCAAGGCTCCACGATAACGGTGGCGCGTTATCCTCCATTAGGATGACCATTTGGCCAATACTAATCGGGGATTGATGTAGGCCATTTATTCCTTTGTTGTAGTGAATATAAGTATTCACGACTCCAACGCCGCCAAAACTGTTGCCTAATTTGCTGTACATACTGCCATCTTGAAAGCCTGTTTGCTGGAGTGCCTTCCAATGCTTCTTCTGGACAAGCTTTAAGAGGAGTGCCTATTAAAAAATGGCCAGGCGTTAAGAATGTGAGGTCTCGAGGATCTGATAATATCGAAGTAATAGGACGAAAATTTAAAATTGTCTCCCATTGGATGAGGAGAGTTTCCAATTCTTCCCATTGTAAGTGCGCTTCCTTTGTCATTTTGACTAGATGCCTTTTGGTTGCCTTAACTGCAGCCTGCCAGATTCCTCCTTGATGTGGGCTTTGGGTGGGATAAAATGCCATTTGATGCGTATTCCATAATTTTCCCTTTCGTTGCTTGATCTTGGAGGAGGTGCGTCAGTTCGCCTAGCTCATGTTCTGCTCCCACGAAATTGAGACCATTGTCTGAAAATATGTCTGAAGGACAGCCTCTTCTGGCTATGAAACGCTTCAATACATTCAAGAACGCTTCTGCGGATAGACTGCTATTAATTGGATGTGTAAGGCTTTATAGTTGTCATGCATACAAAGATTGCAATGTAGCATTTTCTTAGTTGAGTATTTCTTCTGGCTCGTTCCTTGTGAAAAGGGGCCAGCATAACGATTCCGTATTTCTCGAATGCTCTAGCAGGTATGTTTACGCGCGACTGTGGAAGATTTCCTATAATTGCAGATGCTGGGGCTGGCTTATGCCGAAAACAAATCACACACTTCCGCACTATGCTTCGAACAACATTTCTTGCTGAAATGAGCCAATACCTCTGTCTCACTGTGCGTAGCCCGTGCTCCCGCGTGAAAATGCCTTATGTGTTCATGCATCACAATTAATTGTGAAAATGTGTAATGCCTTGGAAGTAATATGGGGTACTTTGCTGAGAACGGTATATTTGCTGCTTTCAGTCGACCACTCACTCTTAGGACTCCCGTTTCATCAATAAATGGACTTAGTTTTAATATAGGACTCTTTTTGTCCACAACACCTTGCTTGCTTAGACATCAGTTCTCCTGAAAAATAAACTCTCTGAATTATTCTCACTAGACGTGTGATTGTTTGATCCTGCTCTTTTGACGTGATTGGCTGAATCGCTTTGCTGCTGTTTTGCGTTGGCGCTTGCAGTGCCTTTGACAATTCCTTTTTTCTTGCTCTTTCCGCAAATCTCAAAATGTACGCTACGACGCGGATAAGTTTCGTGAATGTAGAATATCTTCCGAAAATATCGAAGTCTTAAGCGGTTGCGACTGCAACGATGGCCTTTGATTTCCTCTCAGGAGTTTCTTCGGATCCGATAATATGCTACTCTTTAGGCCAACTATTCACGTCTTGAACTAATCAAGGGGGTCCTGCCCACTAGATTCGTAAGTCTATTATCTGCTCAGGCATAACGCCTCTAGAGAGGGGATCAGCGGGGTTATTCTGGCTTCTTATGTGGTGCCAATATTGAATTGGCGTTAGCTGTTATATTTCCCCTACACGATTGGTGACAAACGGTGTTCATGATCTGCAGGATTGAATTCAGAACAATGGTGGAGTCCGTCCATAACCGAATGGCGTCTATTTTACAGGGAAGACTGTCGATAACTTTGTTTAACAATTGTGCCAATAGCAAGGCTGCGCACAATTCCAACCGTGGCAGTGATATGCTCTTCAATGGTGCCAACCTTGAAACATAGTAAATTTGTAATATGTTCTTCGTTAGCTAAAGTGGAACACAAATAGATGCACGCTCCATAGGTGTGTTCGCTCGAGTCAGCAAACC